AAAAATATTCCACAAATTTCAAAGAAGAAAAGATGAAAGTCTTACAGAACAAGCTATCTTGTTCTGTAATTTCAAAGAAGAAAAGATGAAAGCCTTGGGCAACAAGAAGAATTTACAATGACTGAACACAAACTGGTCTAATATTAGGGCAAAAACATATCAACCAACATATTTAGCAAGCTCATAGTTGAAAAGAATAAAAAAGGAAGTGTGCTGGAGAAATAAAAAGGCATTTAATCCTAGGAAGGAAGGCAATAACAAATTTAAGCAAGATCATGAAGGATGAGGATATTTCTAGAAAAGAAAGACCACTGCAATTAAAGCAATGGTTTTCCACTGGTAATGGTAAGCTGTGAAAAGAGGACACTGAGAAAGAACAAGAGAAGGAAGACAGACCAAATTATGGATCTGGAGATGGATACTAAAGTATCGTGGACTACAAGAACCAATCCTGGAACAAATAAAGGTTGTCTGTTCTCCAGAGATGACAATCAGCAAGCAGAAACTCATATAAGGTTGCCATGTGATATAAGCAAATGATGGACTAGAAAAAATTAGTACTTGGACAAGGTGAAGGAACATAGAAGGGGAAGATAATGGATAATTAAATGGACTAGAGCTAAGGTCAGAGTATGTGTCATCTTACTGCTCTATTGTCTGCCCCACATAGCTTTGTTGCTTTATGCTGGTTGGTCTATCTATCTATGCTCTTTGTTTATCTTCTTGCCTGAGGAAGCTATCTGGAGAATTCCAAAACTTACACTTGTGTAGGTAACATAAAACCAATGACTTGCACTGGCATAAGCTTTGTTTATTTACAGCACCCAACTAAACACCATATTCTAGTTGCACCTAACAATCAACAAACACACTCTGAAATATCAGTTGGCCATACCCTTCACTGGTACTACAACCAGCGTAGTAACCTTTCAAAATACAAGTTAAAAACAGGGAAAAGTTATGAATCCTCATACCCTCTAAGGACCCCTAGAAGTTACTGCCAAGTTACAGGGCAATCTTGTGCATCCATCCAGTTCAGCTGCCACATGAAACATGAACACGCCAAACTATTTGGAGAGTATCAAACTGTCTGGGATGTTCCAGCCCCTTCAATCTCCCCAAGATGTGATATCCACAGCAAGGAGCACCTTCAGCTATCATTGAGCAGGGGATATGCTCTGTTCCTGTAATCTAAAAAAGGAAACCATACCAAAGACCTCAGCTGCCCCAAAAGAAACTCCTAAATAAAACCCAGACATCTGATTCTGATGAGATTGCAACAAAACTGGAAGAATGCCACTTTACTGCAACCAGAAGGGCCAAACAGCTGAAACACTCAAAAAGATGGTAGTCATACCAACTCCTACCACCTTCAGTCACATTCACAAAGTGGCATCTACTACAGGCATATCTTAGCTCCTGTACAGGAGCTAGCTACAACTTATACGTGCTTGATCTAGATCAGTGTTTCTCAACCTTGGCAATTTTAAGATGTGTGGACTTCAACTCCCAGAATTCCCCAGCCAGCCTTGCATATCTCAAAATTGCCAAGGTTGAGAAACACTGATCTAGATCTTGTAAGAGCTTTAAGTCCCTATTTCACTTGGGAGGTTTATGTGACAGTTTTGTGACTGAGGAATCCAAAACAAAGACAATAATTTTAAAGCAGCAGCTAACCATTTTGTTAACATTTACTTATTTCGCAGGAGCACAGCATGCTGACAATTCTCCTCCAATGGAACTGCAGCTAGCAGCTTTTAGAATTTAAGCAAACTCAAACTTTAGTGCTCAAGAAATTGTTTCTTTCCATGTTTATGAAGCAATCTGTGTTCCAAGTCTATCTCACCTGGGCTCTTATATGGGGTACCCCATACTAGGGACTCTTGTGGCACAACCTAATTCAAGTGGTTTCCCAGTGTTTAAAGCATCAGTGTTCTCATTTGTCTGTATTTTTATCATCCATACAATTCTGTGCAAGATAAAACAAACCAATCATGGCATAAACAGCAAACTCTCATTCTTACCAAGAATCCTGGTATCATCTCAGTATCAACTATCAAAATTGGACTTGCTTCCATCTTTCCCTCTGTTTCAATGGAGCATGTTGTTTATTTCTGTCTGAGCATAAACGATTAGTTTTGAAAACCATAGTTCATGGCTTAGCACTGACATATGAATCAGTAACTGTGGCGTATTCAGAAAACCATGGTTAAAACAAAGCACAGCTTAGTGTGTGTAAATCCAACCCCTCTCTCTCTAACACACACATACCACAGAAGAACCACAAGTATCACAATCATATAGTTAATATTGATCATCTAAAGCTTCTCTATCTTCTAGAATAATCATCCTCTTTTTCAACAAGGTAATAAAAGATAAGAATCCTGAATATTTACAGCATCTTGAATAAGTAAAAAAGACCTTATATATCATGAAGCTCCAGGGTTCTTTTCAACACTCTTTATAGGAAGACAAATGAATTATTTTAAAGTATTATTTTAATACTTCTAAATTACTATTAAATACTTTTACATTATTATTTCTATTTTTAATTTTAACTTTTCAATTCAAAACAGCTAAATGCAGAGTACATTTATTTTTTAAAAAGAGTCATACCTAACTACCTTTTTTTCTTAGTACTAAGAGATGTGTTCGTTCTGTTACAAAAAAAAAAAATCCAACATTTTATCACAACGGATTAAACAACTCGATTTTTTGTGCACATGCAGTTTGCTTCGCTTAATTTATTTCACGGTGTTGGCTTTGTTTCATTTTTGCATATCTGTGAGATGGCAGGGGCAGAAGCATGAAAAAGATCATATAGATGTGATTAATGAAGGAAAAAAGAAATGGAATCCGAAGGAGTCTGGAAGCTTCTTTTCCAACTAGCAAGTTTTATTAAAAGGCGTAAGGTCATAACCTTGTTCTGATTGTTTGCTACCATAGACTCTCCTCCTACGAAGAAACCAGGAAGAACATAATACCGTATAGTATACGAATGCACACAGAGCGCAGAGGCTCCCCACCCTGGCCATAAACTATTTCCTCTGCTACTGCCATTGCTGTCTGCGCACATTTTCCTTATTGCAAAAGCTACATGCTATCATTTAGAAAAAACCTTAGGAATCCAAGCTGAGTGTCAATCTCAAATTAAAATCTACTGAGAATGTGATTGACCCAAAATATATTAAACATCTTCAGACGAAGGTAAGGATTAAAACTTGCTCTCAAAACTAATTTTTTTTTTTTTGCAAGTCACAATATAGTGTCCTCCAAGAGCACAGGACCCGTTTCTTTCTTAAATAATCAGCAGCACTTTCTTCCAATACAGCATTGCTCACTTGTAAACCTTCTATCCCTAATAAAATATTTCTGCAAAGCCTGCTCATTAACCTTGCCTACGATACTGAGAAAATCGACATTTAAAAAGCTTGGCCTTCCACCTGAACCGAAGCCTAGCGATCCTAGAGACAGGCGATTTATCGCAAATTTTAGGAGTATTTTAGTCCCCCTGAACAACTTCACGTAATCGTTACAGCTGCAGAAGTGATCTAATTTAATCCATTTTATTTTTGCATCAAACGATCCCCATCTGGAGTCATGTCACCGCCTTTGGCCGTTTTATTTCGGAGGCCTTCGGTGGGGTCGCGACTTTAATACCACGCGTTAACCAAAATTGTGACCAAAATTTGAGGCACGTGCTGAGGCAGACTTCGGAGCGCCGCCAAGTCTCGCTCCTGCTCGGCATCCGAAGAATTATCATTAGGGGCACTAAAACGTGCCTCGGCGAATACCTGCAGCCAGCCCCCTCCCATGCATTTATTTTGCATACAAGGAGGCACCCTTAGGCCTTGGATCCTCGCCCCTCGTGGACGATCCGCTCGGCAAGTTCCGCCCTAAGCGAGGAGGGAGGGAACCATGACGGCGGCGTTACTCATCGCCGCTGTGACACCTACATCCCCGCTCAAGGACACTGCAGCGGACTGCCATCGCCGGCTCCTTCGGCTGCTCCGTCGGCCGCCGAGCCGCCCCGAGGTGC